GGAAAAATTACACTCCATGAAGCTGGTCCCTGTTGCCAAAAATTCAGCGACTACTGCTTTACATGGATCTCAGGTCCAATTTATAGCATCTAGATAATTTTAGCCTTTAGTTTCTCTCTTCCATACTTAAAGACAGATAATATATGGAAACTAATTTCCTATTTTTTTAAAAAAGTCATTTCTAAACAAATAGGTAAACATCAACCCTGTCTACCTTTTGCTTCTATATGTTATCTAATATATTAGTTATCTGATATGTTCAACTGAGGAATTGTTGTAACTTTTTGTGTCTTTTAGAGGATTTAGACAATAGTAAAAAACTTCAAGAAAGTCTTGTCTCCTGGGCTAATTCTGCAAGCACACTTCTAGTGAAGTACGAGCCTCCCATGTTAATTGTTAGCAAATTTACAAATTACAAATTTGTTAGCAAATTTGAACAAATCTGATCAAATAGAGAATATTTTCACAACCTTAAATTTATTAGGAATAAGAACACATAAAAACCTTAAAATCACATGACCACAACTGACTACCCAGCCGTCTTTCTATTTATTCCCTCATCTTTCTCCTTTTTAACATCTGTGTCTCTTCCCAATACAACACCCAACAGTATTTATTACAGAGATGTGGCTTTTACTTCTACTAGCTCAAGTGTTCTTCAAATCCCAGCATTAAAAGATAAAAGGTAAAGAAATATTAAGCAGACATAGGATGATTTCAAGTCTATCTCTTTCATACTTAGAGACAGGCAAATACACATCTTCCTGCACAATCCCAACAGTAATTCAATAAAGCAAGATTTTGCTTTGGGTCCTCACCCACCTAACTTTGTGAACCGTGGCAAGCCAGAGCTCAGTGGCACATTTAATCCTCCATTTTAAAATAAAAATAACCAACATCCACAAGAAGATAGAGGCCTTAGGGCCTTCCATTACTTCTATTTCCTTTGCTAACTCATTCTTTGTAGTCACACCTAAACCCTGTACCAGAAATTCCTTCCCTGAGGGTCCAATCCAAAACAAAACCCAGGTTACTTACTCAAACACCCTCCTCTTTTCCTCACAGCCCTTAACATAGTCTCTACATTATATATATATATATATATATAAAATTTTTTTTTACATGCTTAAGTTCTATCTCCCACACCAGCCCTTACACTTTACACAGAGAAAGTTCTAGAAGGTTTCATTCTCTACCATAGGATCAGCAATTAACACAGAGGCATATATGGCAGTAAAAGAGAATCAACTGTATGAATGAGTGATGTGATTAAGCACAGTCCTTTTGTAACATGAGGGGGTAACAGACAAAAAAGCAACTAGAACTCATATAATTGACATCTTCTAAAGAAAAAGTGAGAGGAAGGCAGGAAAACCTTAGATAACTCAGAATTAAATTCAAAGTTTCATACCCTGCCAAAACATCAAGTGAAAAAGGTTTAAAACCTATTTCAACATGTCTTACATAGATTGTTCAACTGCAGCCACTCAGACTCAAAAAGCTTTCTCAGAATCCCATCACCATCTGGATAGTTTACAGTCTGAAGTACCATATAGGTATTCAGCATTTGTGGCTATAGAAAAAGGAGGTAAGAGAAGATGGAAAACAGATATCTTGGTAGTTCTTAAGAGTAAGGATCAAAGATGCCACCATGTGATTAGCTACATCTCTCCTCCCTCAGACACCGATACTGTAGCAAAGGCCACACCCTACTCTGAAAAACACCAAAACCTCAGCCTCTCAATGAATTGACTCCCATGACAGTCTCCTAGCCATTTAATTTTCTCACCACCAGATAACTATTTGATGTGTTAAAACTCAGTTATCTTTTAAGGATTACTAAATCTCTTAAATAATCCAAAGAGGAACAAGCAAGTAGGACAAACCCCAGCCCACAATGAAATGGCACCAGAAGCCGGATTGTGCAGCGGCAGGAAGACCAGCCACATCGACCACTCTGCACATGAAGGGGACTCTGCGGCAACCCTGCCCTCAGCGCTTTGCTTCTGCTGTCAACCCTTCACCCAGTCGGCTGTCAAAACCTGGACACCACCTTCTGGCCACACTACCTCTTTTCTCTAAATGCTTTCTTGCCTTGGGGCCTCCTCCTTTGCCATTTTCTCTGATAAGCTCCCTGCCTGCACCTGCCGCGGCGAGCTCCTCCTCAGCCATGAGAGCCCAGTTTCAAAATGAGTCCCTCCCAGAGGCCACCCCGAGGAGGGCATACATCCTCCAGGCTCCTTTGTCCTCTTGGTCTGGACATTTCTTAACACTTAGCAGAATTTATAATTACATACTAATTTTACTTCATCCATCACTATACTAGTTATTTTTCCCAAACCCTGGGTCTTAATTTCTGTTTCTTAAATTTTTTTATTGTTACATAATAATTCAGGTACATGTGATATTAGCAGAACTTATAATTACATATTTATTTTACTTCATCACTATACTATTTTTCTCCCACATTGGGCCTTAATTTCTGTTTCTTAAGATGCATTTTTTTATTGTTACATAATAACTAGGGTAGATGTGATATTTTGATACATGCATAAAATATGTAATGATTAAATCAAAGTAATTAGGGTATCTATCTACTCAAACAGATTTTGAGATCGTTAAGTACAGATACTACTTCTGCTTTATGTACCAATATAACACCTGTGGTTACCCCAACCCTACCACATAAAATGTGCTTACTATTTAGTGAATGAGCAAATGAATGCATATATTTTTCACTGTGAGATGCTTAGTCAAATATGAATTTATAAATATGGAAAATAAACACGATTGAAACACCTCATCCTTAATTTCCCTTTTCTATCATTTTTCAAATAAGACTAGACTTTTTTTATATGATAAAAGCTCCATATATCTACCTTGTTATTTAACAAAAAAAAAAAAAAAAATGAAAGCCTACAGATAGTTTGGAAGGCTCACCATTTTTATTTTAAAATACATTTTAGAATCAAATTTTAAAATGCCATCTCTCCTTTATCCCTAACCCCTCATCTCTGCTGTCTATCAATCTGTTTCTATGTCAATGTTTCAAAATTTTGCATGTAAGTGATGTTGCCCAAATGGTATAAATGTTCAGTTATAAGAATAAATTCTGGAGAGCTAATGTAAGCGTGGGATGATTATAGTTAATAATGTACTATACACTCGAAATTTGCTAAGAGAGGAGACCTTAAGAGAAGAGTTCTCAACATATACAAAAAATAAGGGAAAGTGTGCTGTCCTTGTTATGTTAATTAGCTTGTTTGTGGTAATCATTAACAATATCTATGCATATTAAATAATTACGGCATAAACCTTAAAAATAAACATTCCTCTTTGTCAATTACACTTCAATAAAGTTGTAAACAAAAACACTCAGTTCTGGGCAGCACCTGTGGCTCAAAGGAGTAGGATGCTGGCCCCATATACCAGAGGTGGTAGGTCCAAACCTGGGCCCGGCCAAAAAAAAAAAACCATTCAGTTCTTTAAATGTACGCACTTGACATTTTCCTACAGGAAATATGTGAAATAGCCAATTTAAGATGTTTCTAAAACTGAACTGATTCATATAATGACTGAATAATCCTCCTGCCCATTCTCTACATG